AGATCCGTCTGTAGGAGAACATGCCCGACCTAAGAATTAGCTGATCTGCGGGACGCAGGAGCGCATGATGTCCCGCGAGAGCGCTCGAAACGGTGCACACCACCACCCAGGACCACTCTCTGCCTCCATCCGCCCGTCGGTGGTGGTGGTGGTGGTGCGTTTCCTCCTTCCTACAGGCCTCGGAAATCAGCGAACACCCATGCCGCATTCATCCGTCAATGGCGCCCCCGATGATCAATGTTGGCGGTGGGTTGACGGAGCTGCACTTCGATCGCAGTCTTCCCCGCGCGTGCTAACTTTGAGTTGGGGGAGCGCGGGAGTGCCCACTAATTGTTTCCCTCTACCGTACGTCTGCTGCGAAGCCAAGGTTTTCGGGGAAAGCCGAGCCCCTCGCATCCGCCAGGCGCGGCCGGTGGCGGCAGCGGCCGGGAGGCGGTGGACGACGCGGGCGCGGGCGGCGTGGAGCTGGGGCAGGCCCGCCAGGTGAGCGCGTGCACGCGCTTGCGAGTCCCCCAGAAGGAGAGCACGAGCAGCACACCCAGATCTCCGACGGCAATTTTTTGTGGTAGTATGCGTATACATATATGTATATCTACGCGCATATACACGTACATACATACATCCATCCATCCATACATACATACATACATACATACGCACACACATACACGCACATCCATACAGGCAGACAGACAGGCAGGCAGACAGACACGCACAATCATACATACATACCTACATGCAACCATACACATACCCATACATGCATACATACACATGCATGCATGTATGCATGCATGCATGCATGCATGCATGCCCACACACATACACAGCCATACGCGCATACATACATGCATGCATGCATGCATGCATGCATACATACATGCATGCATGCATACATACATACACACATGCATACACACATACGTACATACACACACGTACATAGATACATACATACATACGTACATACATACATACGTGTAAACATACATACATACATCCATACATACATACATACATACATACATACATACACACACATACATACATACATACATACATACATACATACATACATACATACATACATACATACATACATACATACATACATACATACATACACACATACATACATACATACATACATACATACATACATACGTACGTACGTACGTACGTACATACATACATACACACACTTACGCATACACATACGCATACAAACATACATGCACACATGCATACATACATACATGCATACATACATACATACATACATCCATCCATCCATACATACATACATACATACATACATACATACATCCATGCATGCATGTATAGTTGTATCGATGTGTGCGTGTGTATATTTGATATACTTTGATGTGCATGCACACATATATCGGAGGTGAGGGGGTGAGATCGAAGTGGAACGGAGAGCCCCCCTACCGGGAAATCGATTTCGGTTTCGTGTTCGTGCGTGCCGTGCTTGCGGGCGAGGCGAAGCTGCGCGGGCGGGCGAGAGAAAGTCTCCTGTGGCTGAGGCGCGGCCGGACCAAATGTGTCTCTTCCGGGCGGCCGGTGGCGCGCGGTGTCCCGCCGGTGTCCCGCTGGTGTCCCGTTGGTGTCCCTTTGGCTGAGGCGCGGCCGGACCAAATGTGTCTCTTCCGGGCGGCCGGTGGCGCGCGGTGTCCCGCCGGTGTCCCGCTGGTGTCCCGTCGGTGTCCCTGTGGCTGAGGCGCGGCCAGACCAAATGTGTCTCTTCCGGGCGGCCGGTGGCGCGCGGTGTCCCGCCGGTGTCCCGCTGGTGTCCCGTCGGTGTCCCGTCGGTGTCCCGTCGGTGTCCCGATGATGATGTGGATGATTGTGATGATGATGATGATGATGGTGATGATGATGATGGTGATGATGGCGATGATGATGATGATGATGATGATGATGATGATGATGATGATGATGATGATGATGATGATGATGATGATGATGATGATGATGATGATGATGATGATGATGATGTTGGTGTTGTTGATGATGATGATGACGTCGATTGTGAGATCGATTGTGACATCGATAGTGAGACCGAATGTGAGATCGATTGTGAGATCGATCGTGAGATTGATTGTGAGATCGATAGTGAGATCGATAGTGAGACCGAATGTGAGACCGAATGTCAGATCGACTGTGAGATCGATTGTGAGATCGATAGTGAGATTGACAGTGAGATCGATTGTGAGACCGAATGTGAGATCGATTGTGAGATCGATTGTGAGATCGATAGTGAGATCGATAGCGAGATCGATAGTGATATCGATAGTGAGATCGAATGTGAGATCAATTGTGAGATCGATAGCGAGATCGATTGAGGACGTTGGTTCCCCCTCCCCCCTCACCTCCTTATCACCCGCAGGGTGGTCGTATAGGTATATATACACCTTTGCACATATTCATATTTTTTCATAGGGCCGGGGACGCCGGAAAAAAACAACGCCCCCCACTCCTAAGGATTTTGGCCTACCCCAGGCCTTTCGGGCAGCCCCCCAGACGAAGTGGAAGAGGTAATATGGAATATAAACCACCCCCGCCAATGGGGCTTGTGGGATTAAACGTCGGCGCAATGGGAAGAGATGGGTCGGCGGGGTGGGATGTCATATATGGCGCGCGCACCTGGTTTGTCTCTCTTCTCTATCCTCTCTCCTTTCTTCTCTTTCTCACCCTCGCTCTGACCCTCGTCCTCTTCTACTTGCTGCCCACCTTCCTACTCCTTCGCCTCCTTCTCCTTTCGCTTCGTCATCGTCGTGCTCCTCCTCCTCCTCCTCCTCCTCCTCCTCCTCCACCTCCCATCTTCATCCTCGTCTTCCTCCTCCTTCCCTCCTCCTCCTTCACTCCTCCTCCTCCTCCTCTTTCTCCTCTTTCCTCCTCCTCCTCCTTCCCCTCATTGTCCCGACTTTCGTCCTCGTCCACCTCCTGGCCCCCCTTCTACTCATTCTCCTCCCCTTCCTCATCCGTGCGACCACAGCTTGTTGGACGTGGCCTTTCCTCTAACCTGGGATCCTCATCCTTGTGTCCCCTCCTCGCCCCTATCTTCTTTTCCTCGTTCTTCCGTGCATTCTCCTCTCTCCTCTCCTCCCCCCTCCCTCCTCTCCATTCTCCGTCCTCCTCGTCCTCGTCCTCGTCCTCGTCCTCGTCCTCATCCTCTCTCTCCTCTAGTCCTCTCGTCTTCTCTTCCCTGGGTGCCCTTCCTTCCAGTCCCCCCCTGCTCTCCTCTCCCCTCCCTTGCCCTCCTCTCCCTTCCCTCTCCCTCCCCCACCCCCTCTCCTGCTCTCCTCCCCTCTCCTCCCTCCTGCCTCCTCGCCCTCCGCCTCGCTGCCCCCTCCCCCCCCCCTCCCCCGAAGGTGGAGCTGATACCCCAGGCCAGGTGGAGCTGACGCGAGGCAGCCGGCCGGCCGAGCTCCAGCACCGGGGCGGGGGGGCGGCCCGCTGCTCCCCTTTCCCGCACAGGCGACGGCCTCAGCGGAGTTGTCGTCGTCGTCGTCGTCGTCGTCGTCGTCGTCGTCGTCGTCGTCGTCGTAGCCGTCGTCGTCGTCGTCGTCGTCGTTGTCGTCGTCGTCGTTGTCGTCGTCGATCGGCGATCGTCGGTCGTCGATCCTCGATCCTCGTCGTCGGTCGTCGGTCGTCGTCGGTCGTCGGTCGTCGGTCGTCAGTCGTCGTCCTCGTCGTCGTCGTCGTCGTCGTCGGAGGAGCCAGGGATTGTGATCAGGACCAGGGGGCGGTGGATCTGGATATCTTTGGCCCCTCCCGAAGCGATCATATCAATGCGTAGGGACCACCTCCTGGGGGCCTGGGACATTGGGCCCTGCTTCGTGGAAGCGAGCGCAAAAGCGTGCATGACTCCTGCTTTGTAATATTGTGTTGCAGTGGAGGCCCATGCCGAGCAACACCCTGCTTGCCTCCAGGGTGCCCTGGGTTTCTTCTGTTTCGATGGTTTTGCCATGGACAGCGTGACGTTCCCCCACCAAAAACCAATGGACGTCCTGGGGTCTCAGGGTCGGGTTTCTTGTGGAAGGCTTTTTGTGGACTGTATCAAACTTGTGTTCAGAGGTGCCTCTCTCGAGGCACATGTCATCCACGCGCAGTGCAGGGTTCGTGACTTTGAGCAGCAGCGCCACAGGCTCTGCTGCCCACCAGCTCTGGTCCTCGTCCTGGAGCATCCTGCCCTGCCTCGGCTCGAACCTGCTCCGTGCCCGCACTTCTCCCCGTCCTCGCCTTTGTAGTTCGGCCGCGGCCCCCGGGTAGCGAAGTAGTTGTGTAGGCTCGTGTGCAGCTGTGGTGTCGAACTGTCCGCCTCTCGCTGGAAGAAAAGCCAGCGATCGTCGCCACGGCCGCTGGCTCTGCTGCCCCTTCCCCTCGCCGTGATCATCGGCGGCATTCCGGTACTGCTTCTCGTCGCCGTCGCCGTTGTCTTCACCGTCGCCGTCGCCGCCGCCGTCGCAGTCGTAACCACCGTCGCCGTCGCCGTCGCCGTCGCCGCTGCCGCCGCCGCCGCCGCTGTCGTCGTCGTCGCCGTCGTCGTCGTCGTCGTCGTCGTCGTCGTCGTCATCGTTGTCGTCGTCGTCGTCGTCGCGGCCGCCGCCGCCGTTTCCGCCGCTGCCGCCGCCGCTGTTGTCGTCGTCGTCGTCGCCGTTGTTGCCGTCTCCCCTCACCCCTGGTCCTGCTCCTCTGCAGCTGAGTCTTTCACATGGCTGCTCTCTTGTGCGGCATGGTTGGCCTTTTCTTTCGTTTCCTTTGCATTCTTCCTAAAGTGCTCCTCCTCTTCCCTCCTCTGCCGCATTCCTCTCTTCGTCCTCCTGGTCCTCCCTGCCTCCTCCTCCTCCTCCTCCTCCTCTTCCTCTAACTCCTCCTCCCGCCCCTGGCAATCGGGGGTTCGGCGGACGCGAGGGGAGTTCGGTCTGCCCTTCCCCCCTTCCCTCCGGCGCGCTTTGGCCCGGCCGCCCCGGTGGGGAGATCGACTTCGGCATGGCGTGCAGGTTCGAGGACGCGGCGCGGCAGCCTGTCGAGGGGGGTGGGAGGAGGGGCAGAGAGGGAGGAGGGAGGAGGGAAGGAGGGGGTGGATGGGGGGGTGGTGGGGAGGGCAGAGCAGGGGGGTGGTAGGGGGAGGGGGAGGTTCTGATTAATACCCGGGCGAATTGGTCCACACCCGGTGAACTGGTCAATTTCCCGGTAGCACCTGGGAATGGTT